TAGTATAAAGGTGTTCTTTTGACATTTTCTGCATCTTAACAATATTGTTAGTTGATTATATAAAAATGATGGTAAACCTGTTATTGTGCATTGTGTAATAAAGTGTCAAAAATGGAAATAAACTCATATCTTTACAGTTTGTCAGATTCAATCATTCACCATGTTCAGAATCTCAGAATGGAACAAATTGGACATTTAAAATTGTTTTATTGATATTTTTCCTATGTCAACAACTTTCTTAGTTGATAATTTAAAAATGACAGTAAATTGATTATTTTGATATATGAAAAAAAGTGTTGAAAGTGGAAAGAAATTCATTTCAGTACAGTTATCTCTTGTGTACATTTTGGCATTTTGAAGTTGTGACTCTGAACTTCCATGGCCCTGAAGACCTTTCCATATCAAATTTTCTGAATATCCATGATACTTTTATTTTATTATTAAAAATTGATGGTCATTATGCTGTTAAGCATTATGTAATATTGCATCAAAATTGAAGACAACCCCATTTTAGACAATGCCTCCATAGTGACCAGTAAAGGAAAACCAAGTCACTCACTCTTCTCAAACTTACAGAAATGTAGCATAGCACTAAATTATAGCTTCAGTTGAAAAACCTATTATATCGGTTAACTTTCTTGGAAATTATATAGTTTTTTGTTACAATTAAAATTTCCACATATGGACATTTTCAAGGTGTGACTTAGTCTTTGAACTTCCATTGGCTTGAATACCATTGCTAGTCACATCTTTTGAATAGCTATGATACATTTACTTTATTACTAAAAATTGATGACCATTGTGCTGTTAAGCATTATGTTAAATTGCATAAAAGATAAAAAAAAACCTTTTTTGGACATCGCTGCTGGGATGACCATTAAGGAAAAACCATTTTACTTATGATATTCTAACTTACTGAAAAGTTTCATAGGACTGAAGTGTAGCTTGTGTTGGAAATCAGTGTGATTGTTTTCTGTTTTGGAAGCAATGCAGCTCTATAGAGTGCTATATGGGGCTACTGTTTATGAATGGTGGTAATTGTCCCTTGGGATAATCACTAGCTAAATTCAGAGCTATAAAATTACTTGCCTAATTGATTTTCAAGTGCCCATTAAATAAGATTACATAAAGCACACGTTAAGATTTCCCATTCAAGTCCTATAGGTTAAGCTCTCTTAACTGTGTCACATAATTAGGAATTGGTGATAATTATGCAGGTAAATGTTGTTTAATATTGCAAATAAGTTTGCAAAAGAAAAAAATTTGTGTAATGCCAACATTAATGCTATAGATGAATAACAGTGCCTTATTATCCTCAAACACATTGGGATTATTCATATCATGTTAATACAGCAAGATTAAAAGTTTGAATAGCAGCTTTATTGGAATTTTTTTTTTGTTGTTGTTGTGTTTTCTTTTTAATTTTTTTCTAAACACTGGCATTTTCAACTCCCATCCATCTGAAGCTCTTCAGATTTTCTGTATTTCCACATAAGCAGTTGCATAGGTTTTGATGTCTTTAAACAATATGTAATATTATTTTATGCACTGTCAACATTTTTCAAATATTGGGATTTTCATTATGGATTGAGGCCGTATCTTTCAGATAACGGTCAGATTTTAAAGTTTACATTGACTGGTATCAATTTTTTTCTGTTGGAAGACCATCAAAAGTGGAGGATGGATCAACAAAGATACTTTGGAATACTGTCAGAAAATATCTCTGGATCTGCTCCTGTTGGATCCCCACAATTCATTTTGTTTTCTCCATTCTGTTTTTCAAGATATCATCCAGTTGGGAGATATCTCTCTCAATTATTTGACCGGTGGTGCTAATAACGTTGGAGTGTTTTCCTCGTTCCTCCACTGTAGCCACCAGATGCATTAAACGTTAAATACTCTCAATATTACACGTATAAAAGTTAATTAAAATGGGCTCATTATCTGTAAAAGTTGCAAGTGATCTAGAAAGCCGTTTTCATCTAAAGCAAGTTTACTTTTCAAGTAAATTCCTAGGAGTTTGAACTATATATCTAATATATTGTATTTAAACATGAACATACTGGAATATAAAACAGAAAGTGAATTAAGTTATCAGTAATTGAGCTGTAGGGAACATGTGTGTGAGTATGAGTGTTTATGTATGTATTTGAACAAAAGTTTGTACCATGTATAGTTTATTTCTTAAGTTTAATAAATGAAATGTAAAAAAGAATTTGATAAAAAATTTCAGATAAACTTGAATCAGAAATCAAATGTTGGTGTATTGGAATAAGGTAATTACTATAGTGCTTCATTTATAGTAATAAAAGTAAAGTGCTGGCTTCTTGCATGACGTTCCAAATGCCTTTACACAAGAATCACTATATTATGCTTTTTCAAATTTTTTTTAATCAAAAGAGACCCATTGGGTATATTGTTACCCATGAAAATAATGTTTTATATCAACGAGATACATGAAAAGTCCATATTATTTAGTGTAATCCTTGAAGTGACTAATTTGTGTGACTCAAAAATGCGGCTTTTTATTCTTTGCCCTTCATGAAACAAAGCCTTATACCAGATCATTTTCAGGATTTTCAACTAGCATTGTCAGTGAGATACAAATAAAGTTTTATTTACTGTGATTTGTACATTAATGATTATATTTCCTGATCACCCCTCCCCAATGGTACCCTCAATTAAGAAAAAAAAAACTCATTTCATTACAAAAATTAATATTTTATTGTAAAATTTAGAGAATGGCATTTTGCAGTTTTTAACTGGCTTCTACAGAGGTAATGATAGTTCTGCACTGACAACCCTGAAAAATAAAAGATTAGATTTTAAAATATAATTCAGTTAAAATGTGTATTCAGTTAGGTGTAAATAAATGTTGACAGTAACTTTACAACCACCAGCTCCTGGCTGCTGTGATATAATTAATTTACTGCTTTAATGTACAGTTTTACCAGCTGTTTGACATAGTTTTCCTCTAAAAAACTGAAAGCTTACTTAGTTATGATACCATCAAAACAAATAGACAGACAAAAAGAACTTCTCTGTAAATGTATAATAAATGTATTCTTTTAAAAATACTGTTGACTTTTACCTTATTTCTTATAAGAATTTAAATGTCTGAAGTGTTTAGAATTATTTGATTAATTATTAAATAATAATAATAATAATAATAATAGCCATTTATGTTCGTGCCCTCCGTCTGAAGCAAGACGTGAACAGATTCAATACCCTCCTCCACCTAGATTGGCGGCGATTCTTTGGAGATGAAATGTATAATACTTACTAACATTAAAGGACGTCCATTTCATCATTTTTCTACAGTTTTTTTATAGGATAGTGAGATCAAGTAATCTTTTATTTCCAAATGTTGTACATGACAGATTTAAAAGGTTACGAGAATTATGAGTTCAAGCACCTTTTATTTCCATGCCCAGTTCTCCCCAAGTACAGGTCACTTCCATGCTGTCCTAAGTGGTCACCTGGAGGCACCTGTTCCTAAAGGGTTCAGGCTCCCATATCCAGCCAGACCCAGGGTGGTAAGGCTGAATAAATCTAAAGAATGCATGAAAGAATGAAAAAACAAACAAATAAATAACTTAAAGATATGTTAATGTCTAAAATGTAAAATAAAATGTTTACAAATATATACAACCAACTGATAAATACACTAGAAGAAATGAATGAAGGTTTTAATAAATACTTAAACGTATCAGACTTTAAATTTTATTTTTCAATTTCAAAAAAAATTTTTACCCGAGATCATTATTTTTGTAAAAAAAAAAAAGTTTCATATATACTTACCATGGACCTAATTAGGTCCATGTACTTACATTTTGTGGCTTAATGAATTTCCATTCCACATTTGAGCCCTTGGGCAGGAGAAACTCTGCCCTGAGGGATGGGACCCCCATATCAGTGAACCTTGACAGGTTCACACCTTTCTGGGGGTCCCATCCCCCGAGGGCAGTTCCCCTGCCCACCACTTTAATTGGCCTTTAAATAGTTGTTGGTTAAGAAAACTCTTACAGTGGCCTTGGCTGTTCAAAGTAAAAAGTAAAATAGAAAGAAATACTATCAATATATCGTTTTTGATATTTACATTACAGACATTCAAACTGGTCACTTAATTAATGTAAATAAAGAATAGGATATCTTACTTTCTCATTATGAACAAATTAAATCTTTTTTTTTTTATTTATATAACAACAAAAAATGCAAGAGTAGTTTTAGGCCCGTTGTATTATAAAATACATACAGTCTGATTATACAAACACGCACACAACTTACGAGCACACTGTTCTTCTTTATTTATTTCATTTTCCATATCAGCTATCATCTGCAATATGTACAATAAATTAAAGAAATCATGTTAACGGGATACATAGAATTCTGTATCTTTATTTGGTAGTTTGTGATGTAAACTACATTTGTACCATTACCAGAATGATCAGCAAATCGTCATGTGACAAGAAATTTTTAAGAATATTAATTAATCACATAAAAAATCATGAACGACGGATGAAAAGGCGCCGTGTGGGTTTACATTGAACTTGCTGCAGAATTTCAGTATTGAATAAAAAATAAAACTCACCAGCGACTGTGTAGACATTGTCTCTTTTGTTTACTAAAACAATAAACAGGAATAATTATTGTACAAAAGAATTTCATTGGACGGTTCCTGTATTGTTTCCTTAACTTTAAACCAATCAGATTGACGCTTCGTTGAAGCTCTCGACCTTGAATCTTTCTACTAAATATCGCAATATATATGTCACAGTGCCTGGTCCTGTAAATAGAACTACTTTGTTATGCGTATATACATATACCTATAACCCTAGCGCTCACTACAACCTAATCACTCGGCGTAGTGATATCTGGAATAAAGTTAGTTTGGCAAGCACATGGAGTCTTGAGTTGATAGCACTCGTAAACATGGTGTCAGAATCGGGATTATTTACCTGTTTGTAGGAAACCCGCTGACTGAAAAAGTATTTTAAATTATGGCGGAAGGACTCAGAAAACCTACTCCTTTGTCATTCGAAGGAAACGTAGAACAGAACTGGAAAACGTTCGTGCGTGAGTACGATATATATGTTGGAGCTTGCTATAGCGAGAAAACGCCAAAGCAAAAAGCGTACATGCTATTAAATCTCGCCGATAGCGATGCTATCGAAAAATTTGAATCATTTACATTCAATGATGATGAAGACAAAGAAGATCCAGACATTTTAAAGGCCAAGTTCAGTGAGATTTGTAATCCCAGAACCAACGTTATACTTGAACGATACAGATTTAATTTACGCGCGCAACAAGATGGCGAGCGATTTCAGTCATTTTTAGCTGACCTGAAACACAAAATCAAAAGCTGCAACTATGGTAACCTTGAGGAAGACATGTTACGAGACAGAATAGTCATCGGTATAAAACATGAGAATACCAGAAAGGTGTTGTTGAGAGAGAATAACCTCACACTTACAAAAGCGGTGCACATTTGTCAAATTCACGAGTGCTCCGAGGTCGACGCCAAGCAAATGCAACAGCAGAATCCAGTGACAGTGCATCTAGTCAACAAAAAGAAGGCACAGAAGCCACGACAGATTTTTAGCCATGGCAGATCACAAGCAAGTGAGACGGCCAAATGCAGAAACTGCAGCAGTAGTCACGCCAAAGGAAAGTGCCCAGCTTATGGTAAAAGTTGCCACAAGTGCGGTAAGCTCAATCATTTCCAAGTTGCATGTAGAAGCCAGTCACAGAAAAGTAAATCACCCCGTTCTCACAAGGTCATTAGAGAAGTTAACACTGACTCTTGCAGTGACACTGAAGCAGATTTACTTAAAATTGACTCAGTGCATAGCCCACACGCAGCAAAGAAAGATTTACATGTAAAGTTTCTAGTCCATGATGTGAGCACAGAAGTCAAAGTTGACACAGGAGCTAAATGCAATGTAATGAGCCTAGCAACGTTTGATATGCGTCGAGACAGAGAAAGCATCAACACAGCAGACAAAGTGAAACTTATTGGCTTTACTGGAGATGCCATAACTCCAGTGGGAAGTGCCATTTTACCCTGTGAACACAGAGGTGAAACACATGACATTAAATTCAATGTCATTGATGCCAATGTCCAGACATTATTAGGACTACCAGACTGTATGAAGCTGAAGCTGTTACAACTGGGAGAAAGTGTGTACAGCGTGAACACCACACCAGACATGTTTGCAGAATTCCCAGATATTTTTGACCAAAGGTTGGGACAACTACCTGTGAAGTACAAGATTACAGTTGACTCCCAAGTGACACCAGTAGTCAGGCCAGTACGCAAGCTACCTGTTGCTGTTAAAGACAAGGTCAAGCAGGAACTAAGAAGAATGGAAAGCCAAGGAATCATAGCCAAGGTGACCAAACCTACAGATTGGGTTTCAGCAATGGTGGTAACCACGAAGAAAAACACGGACACAATAAGGATATGCATTGATCCAGGTGACCTTAACAAGGCAATCAAGCGTCCCAGGTACCCCATGAGAACCGTGGATGAAATCATAAGTGATATGCCCAATGCGCATTACTTCACTGTTTTAGATGCCAAGCAAGCCTTTTACTGCATTCCATTAGAAGAAGAATCTTCTTACCTGACCACATTTGGTACACCATTCGGTCGCTACAGATACCTACGACTGCCAATGGGAATCAGCTCAGCATCAGAAGTATACCAGCAAGCCATAGAAAACTTGATGAACGGGCTGCCATGTAAAATAATAATGGATGACATCCTAGTGTCAGGCGCAACAGAAGAGGAACACGACAAGAATTTGAGAGCAGTTCTTCAGAAGTTGAAAGAAATCAACATAAAACTCAACGCATCCAAGTGCAGATACAAGATGACCAGTGTGAACTATGTGGGACACACATTCACAGCTGATGGTCTCAAACCAGACCCAGAGAAGGTCAGAGCAATCCAGGAGATGCCCAAACCCAGAGACAAGACAGAGTTGTTACGTTTTCTAGGTATGACCAAGTACCTGTCCAAGTTCATTCCACAGCTTAGTGAGAAGTGCGCACCACTTAATGAACTTCTACGCAAAGATAACTCATTTGTTTGGAACCATGCACATGACACAGCCTTAGAAGCAATCAAGCAGGAGATAAGTCAGGATTCCTGTTTAGCATACTATGATGTTTCCAAGGAAGTCACGCTGACCTGTGATGCTTCACAAGCAGGCTTAGGAGCTGCATGTCTACAGAATGGGAAACCAGTGGCATATGCATCCAGAGCAATGTCAGA